ACTCAAGACACTTAAAAACACAAACTAAATTGATTTCTAACTAGTATGACTCAACAAAGAAAAGGGGGATTGATTTTGGACGAATTTAAAAACAAAACAAAACTTTGTAAACTAAAACGGATTTTAAAACGAATTTGGATGATTTGAATGGATGGAAGGCTAGCTAAGGGGTTCATCTCCACACATGTCACACTTGCATATAAAACGATTTCCAATTGCTTTTCAATAAACCATGAATTCTCAACGCCCCAAGTTAATTAGGTCCGCTTAAATTAACCCTCAGATTTTCCTTAAGTTATTGAATTGGATGAATTGCATACGACAACCCAAAGCATTCCCCACAAGTCCCCTACATGATTTCATAATAGAGATACAAGCAAGAATCATTAAGTTCTATGAAAACCATAAGCATTGACGAAGCACTTGTTACTATGATTGCATGAAACTTATGCCAAGAATTTACTTAACACGATTGTGATCAACAACCTTTACTACTTGTGAATATAAGTTCATAACGATTAGGTGAAATTCCCTTATATCCTAGCATCAAATTCATGCATGCAAACTAAGTGTCGACCCTCAATCAACATACAAGAATAAGTTTTAATTCACATAGATAAGCAAATTGAACTCACAACTTATGAAACGCAATTAGAAGTAATCAAATCATATAGCAAGCATAAACATGGTTTCGAATCCCCCCCTAGCCAAGGGGGTTTAGTTCCTCATACTCGCAAATAAACAAGGATAAATAAATTTAAACATTAAAACAAAGATAGAAAACACCTAGAAACGCTCCACAATCCAAGCTCCTTGAATGGCATGCACGGCTCCAAGAGTTCTTCCTTCTTCTCCTTTGCAAACTCACGGCACAAGAGGTATATTTGGGTGAATGGTGTAGTGAAAATATGGTAGAGGATGGTGACTAAATGGTGCAGCAAAAGATGGTATTTATAGGCTGAAATTCGCAGCCCCTATGTAGCAAAGGAAAAGGATTTAAAGGCCTAATTTGTATAGGATAATAACACACAATCCTTGAAGGAAAAGGCTAAGGCTTTTAGAGACCAAGGGGGAAAGGAATAATCAAGTTTCTAGAAGTTCTAGAAAGGTTTGGGGCGTCACTTTTGTAGGACAAGGGATAAGGTCTTCTAGAAAGGTTGTTTTGTGGCTGATTTCTAGAAAAACAAGGGATAAGGTATGGCACCTTTGTAGGAGTGGATAAGGGCTTCTAAAAACCAATTTTAATGTGTCCTAATCTAGTTAGAAACCCTCCTAAGTGGCTGAAATGTGGATAGTTTAAGATTAGGATAAGATAGGATAGGATAAGGTTTGTTTGGATAAGATAAGCTAAGATAAGGTTATGGATGAGGTTTTGGATAAGATTCCTTCTCTTGAGCTGATTCTTTGACTTTAACTCTTCTTCTTCACATAGGAAACCTTGCTTGAGTAGGAAACTTCATGTGTCTAGGAATCCATCTTCAATTAGGACTCCTACATTGATTAGGAATCCTTCATTTAAGCCATTTCCTACTTCAACTAGGAAACTTTGTATCTTCAATTCTTCAACTTCAAAACACATTCCTAGCTTCATCAATCCTTCAAATTCGTCCATCCCTTGTGCTACATATGCATGAACTCCATTCTAGCCCAATTTTGCTCCAAAATGCTCCAAATTGCTTCCTTTTGCTCACTTTGTCTCTAAAACCTGAAAACACATGAAAATAGCTTAAAAGACTAACTTAACTAAGAAAACACAACATAAATGCATAAGAACTAACTAACTAAGGCGCATAAATATGCTCCTATCACTAATAAGTGTCTGGTCGAGAATATGCCAGTGGCCGAAGCCCTAGCTAGCGGTCACACTCTAGCACTCAGCCCGGCCATTCTCGCCCATCTCCTACGCTGCTTGGTCGAAACGACCCTAGATAAGGTCGATCCATAGCAGAATGGTTCCCTATGGGTCTTCTAACTCTGGCTGCAGGTCTACTTTGCTCCTCTTCGGCCAACAATTACTGATTTCTCGGCCCTCAGTTGGCTTTTCGGCCAATCCCCCCTCACTAAGTCGAAGAAGTGTTCAGATACTTTTTCGCTCTTGACGACCTTTCCGATGACGAGTTCTTGATCTGCCGCCGTCGAGAATACCCTTCGTCGATCAGACTCCTTACATCCGTGGCGTGCGGATGAAGATGCCGACCTTCGTCAATCCTGGGGGTTTTCGTGCTTGCCCGCTACTTACCTCTTAGCTGTGAGGGTCGCCGAGCGAGTTAGGAAGTGTATCACCCCAACTTCCTCGCTCGGTAGCTTGGCTACCTTCAAGGTTGCCCCGTCCCTCTTCTCTCCTCACGGTCCGTCCTACGCCGCGGACGCGAACCTAGCTCTTCAGAGAAGGAATGCAATGATGCCAAAAGAGAGTTCCAGGAGCGGTGCCAAAAATTTCGTCTTCGACCGGTCACTCCAGAACCTCTTTGCACTGACACCTTCGGAAATTGGTGGGAAGAGTATACCCAACAATTTTTTGGTGTTCCGGTCGAAACCGTCTTGAACAAAATCTTCGGTGATCGACCTAAGAAGGCTCCTGGCCCCCAACCCCAAGGTAACAGTTTATTTGTACCTTTTTCCTTCAATTTTGAACTATTGATCGGCTTTGCTGATTTGCTTTTACTTTTCCAGGCAATCGGCCATTGAAAAAGGTGGAAGTGGTCGCTACGGCTGCGGTCGAGAAAAAATTGACCGTTTCCAAGAGGGCTAAGACCGCTGTGCAGGCCGTACTGAGCAAACGGCCTCGTCAAGAGGTCGAGCCGGTCATCAAGCTCCTCGGCCCGCCAAACGGGTAAAAAAGATGGCGAAGAAAGGGGAACGGGAGATTCACGTTATCTCTAGTCAAACTACGGGGGCGACGACTCCCAATGTTTCCCCTTCTCCCCCCATCACCCAAGCTTTGGTTGAGAAACGGTCTGTTCCGACCGAAGAAACAGTCCAAGTAAGGCCTGTTTCTAAAGTCGGTAAACCAGTTGTTGTTCCACCGGTCGAGGCTACACCCGTCCCGGAAGAGGCAGTCTGTGTGACCGAGGGAACTTATCCTAAAATCCAATACCCTCGGCCTTCGTTCTGGAAGAGAGTGACGGGAGTGACGAGGTTCCACTGGTAAGTCGCTTTCGACCCCACCGTCAACCTCCTCCTGTGTTCGAGGCGGCTGTCCAAGTCGGAGAGCTAGAAGCGGCCGACCGTGGCAAACGACCTATCGGAGAGCTAGAAGCGGCGGTGGAAACGCCCATTCATCCGCAGGATCAGGACCTCAATATTTCTCCGCAGGAAGCCACTTCGGCCTTCGTAAGTACCCCCTACTGCCTTTCCTTAGTTATTTCTCTGCTATAGAACTCTAAACCAGGAAAATACTAAATGTCAGGTGCCTCCTTCTGTGTCCCAGGCGGCTATCCAAGTCGGCCCCTCTATGGCCGACCGTGGCAAATGACCTGTAGGAGAGCCAGAAGCGACGGTGGAAACGTCCGTTCATTCGCAGGACCAGGACCTCAATATCCCTCCGCAGGAAGCCACTTCGGCCTTTGTAAGTACCCCTTACTGCCCTTCCTTGGTTATTTCTCTGCCATAGAACTCTAAACCAGAAAATACTAAATGTCAGGTGCCTGTACACTATTTTCATCAAAAATTTTATGCGTCGAAGGGCGTTATCTATATTTCTTGGCCGCCTTCGTGGCCCTCGAACGTAGATAACCTCCATCGGCCGCGTGAACTGAGAAGCAATCTAAGATACTGGGCTCAGCCATTAAGTTCTTTAGGTTCGAGCAATGATCCTGAAGACATGGCCGAAGTCTCCTCCCAGCAGGTTTAAAAACAAAACCTTCTTGCTACCTTTTTCGTGATTTCCTTGAGCTTAAACTGATTTTTGTGTGTAGGCTTCATAGGAAGTCGAGTTCAAAGCCCTCCTGTCAAGTACCGCTGTAGCGGCTAATCCTTCGACCCCTACAACTGACCCCGCCGATTCAACTGCTCTGGTTCGGGTGTAAGAAGTTTTGTCTCTCTCTGTGTCGCAAGTCCTTGAATGCAAAGACCTCGATTTATTGGGTGCCTGCCTAAACGACCTCGGCGCGGACGGTCAAATGAGCGCCGAAGCCATTGTTCAAGCGTCGTCTGCCTTAGAGCGAGTTCGGGAGACCTTTAGTGTCATTGAGAATGCTATTCGGGCTGAGCAAGATCTGAAAGCTGCCATGGCCGTCCAAGACGTTCTTCGTCCGAAGATTGATGCTTTAAAGGTGAAAGGGGAAGCTTTGGCCGACCTCGACCGTCAAATAGCCGAACTGGTAGAACGAAGGTCGGCTATTGCTTCCGAGATTACAAAAGACTTCGAGTCGGGCGACAGAGATTGTTTGACTGAGTATGCGGCGAGCGCAAAAGGAATCGAGCAGTTGAAGATGGAAAAAAAGAACCGGCAGGCCGAGGTCATAATGGGCGAGGTGCGGTGGCTGGAGCTTAAGGCTCTTCTCGGCACTCTTCTTCCTTCTTCGCCCTGAATTTATTTTAAATGCAAACTGCTCGACCAACTCAATTTGTGTATTCTTTTACCGATCGCAGTGAAATGAATTTCTATTCCCGCATTTCCCATGTGACCGGATAGTACTTATTTAAAAACTTCCCATTGATTGACAATTTGTGAACTAAACCAGTCCAGTCTCTAAGATGATATGCGCCTTTACCGAGAACCTTATGTATGACGAAAGGCCCTTCCCAAGTCGGCGACCATTTACCGAACCTAGGGTCTTTAATTCCTACGGGCAACACCGTTTGCCAAACTAATTCTCCTTCACCAAATGTTTTCTGTTGGACCTTTTGATTGTATGCTCGCTCGGCAATCTGTTTTTGTGCCACCAGCAAGTTATAAGCGTCGAGTCGCGCTTCTTCTAAGTCTTCTAACTCCTGTCTCATCGACTGATTATATTCGGCGCTGAACAGACTACTCTGTTCAATTGTTTGTAACGAATTTATGCGTAGGTTAGTGCATACGGGGTTGTCCCAGTCGCCGATCGGAGCGATGTTTGATATGCCCATAAAGCCTCATTTAACTTTACATGCCACATGCTAGGCCTCTCTTTTATTATTTTCTCAAGAATGCCGATCAACACTTTGTTACTTGCATCGGCCTGCCCATTTGCTTGCAGATAATATGGTGTAGACTGTTCAAGCTGAATTTTCAAACTTGCCGTGTATTCTTTAAACCTCTTGGCTGTAAAGATTGTGCCATTATCAGTTATAATCGTTTCTGGTACGCCGAATCTGGTCACAATGTGTTCTTCCACAAAGTTGCAAACTTCTTTAAACGTTAGCTCGGCATACGATTTTGCTTCGACCCACTTAGTGAAGTAATCGGTTGCTACCAGTATCCATGCGTGCTTGGCAGCCCCGGAAGATGGTATGATTTTGCCGATTACGTCCATGGCCCATCCTCTAAACGGCCATGGTTTAGTGACCGAACGTAATGACTCAGCCGGGACCCATTGTATAGGACCATGAATCTGACACTGTACGCACCCTCGTGCGAACTCGATACAATCCTTTAATATTATTGGCAAAAAATAACCGTGTCGTCGAAGCAACCACCGCATTTTACGTCCGGACTGATGAGCTCCGCAAACCCCTTCATGGACTTCTGTGATTGCTTGAGCACCCTTTTGGGGGCCGAGGCATAGCAGTAATAGACCATCCTCACCCTTTCGGTATAACTCGTTTTGGTACGTGACATAGTTTGTGGCGTGAACTCTTGTCTTGCGACTGTGTTTGCCATTGGGATTGTCAAGATACTGTATAATGGGCTTTCTCCAATCATCTGGTATTGCCTCGACGGCGTAAACTTCTATAAGGTATTGTCGGTCCAACAACGACGGTAAAGACATGACTCTGGTGCGTATCACGTTGTCGCGTCGGAGGACTTGCTGGTTAACCAAGGCCAGGTATAGTTGTCGTAACACGGGTATTTCTCGGCTTAGCTTGCCCCCCATGAGTTGTGCACCGGAGGCGATTTGAGCCAATTCGTCTGCGTCGGTATTATGGATCCGAGAAATATGTTCAAATGTGATACCGTCGAAGGATTCGGCCAAATAGCTGGCGGCCATGTGGTAGGGTGCCAGGGTACAACTCATGCATTGAAAAGACCCATTAAGTTGGTTAATCACAAGTTCGGAGTCGCCGAGGATGAGGGCACGGGTTGCCCGTAAGTCATGAAGGATGCCAAGGCTGATGATGAGGGCTTCGTATTCGGCCTGATTATTTGTGCATTCAAAATCCAGCTTGAGCGAAAAATACCAACGATCGTGGTTTGGGGATTGAATGACAATGCCGACGCCAGCCGAGGATAAAGTACTTGAGCCGTCAAAGTACATCGTTCAGTAGTTATCGCGCGTGTCAACCATGCTGATTTCGACGTCGGTGCCCCCAAAACCATAGGGGGAAGGGTGTTGAGCGAGGAAATCAGCCATTACCTGGCCTTTGACCGCTTTCTGGGGCACGTATTACAAGCTAAACTCGGACAACGCCATTGTCCATTCCCCAATTCGACCTTTTACGATTGGTCGGGTGAGCATGTAGCGGATGACGTCGGTCTGGGCAATGACTTGTGTGATCGATAAGAGCATGTAATGCCGAAGCTTGGAGGAGGCGAAAAATACGGCGAGACAGAGTTTCTCGACGGCGGAATAATTGATCTCCGGTTGATTAAGATTTCGACTGAGGTAGAAAATAGCATGCTCTCGTCCGGCATCGTTGTCTTGCGCGAGGAGGCAGCCGATGGACTTTTTGGCCGCCGAGATATATAGTTTGAGAGGCTTACAGCGTCGGGGTGGGACAAGGACAGGTGGTGTCATGAGGGAGACTTTGATTTGCGTAAACGCCGCCTGATGCTCGTCTTTCCACTCAAATTTATCTGAGTTCTTAAGTTTCAAAAGCGTAGAGAACGCTTTCATTTTACCCGTCGAGTTAGCTATAAATCGGCGGAGAAAATTTATCTTACTGAGTAAGGACTGTAGTTGTTTCTTCATCGTCGGGGGTGGAGCATTGATGATTGCGCGTGCTTTATTTTCATCCACTTCTAACCCGCGGTGATGCACGAGGAAGTCGAGAAAATTACCGGTCGACACATCGAAGGCACATTTGGCAGGATTCATTTTGGGGTTGTGTTGACGCATACGGAGGAAAGCCTGTCGGAGATCATCCAGATGTGTCTGCCGGTGTTTAGATTTAATTACAACATCGTCGATGTAGACTTCGACGATGGTTCCGATTAAATCATGAAATATGGTGTTTATTGCTCGTTGGTATGTGGCGCCGATGTTCTTGAGGTTGAATGGCATGACAACCCATTTGTAAGTGCCGAGTGCCCCAGGGCAGCGAAAATCAGTCTTGTGTACATCGGATTCGACAATGAAAATTTGGTTGTACCCGGCATGGCCATCCATAAAAGATAAGATCGTATGATTGGCCGTGGCATCGATTAACAAATCTGAAATCGGCATTGTATACTCATCTTTGGGAGTTGCCAGATTCAGATTTCTGAAGTCGATGCAAATGCGCAATGCACCACTTTTCTTTAAAACAGGAACGATATTGGCCAACCATTCAACGTACCGAGCTGTCCGAATAAACCTTGCTTTCAAAAGCCGAACCAGTTCATCCTTGATACCGAGTTGCACTTCGGTCGAGAATCGTTGAGGTGGTTGACAGAAAGGTTTACATCCAGGTTTAATACGTAACTCATGCTCGACGAGAGTGCGATCTAAGCCAGGCATTTCATGGTAGCTCCAAGCAAAACAATCTTTGAATGCCTCAAGCAGGGCACGAAGTTCGGCTTTCATAGGTTGGGGAAGTAAAACACTAATAAATAAAGGCCGTGGGTCATCAGCCGTCCCAACATTAATTTCTTCCAATGGGTCTTTGATTTGGGGCCGATTGTCTTCGAGCTCGGCCGGGGCAACTTGAATTTTGTCAAGAGATAAGACAGGACCGTTATCTCATTCGACGAGGAACTCGACGAGATTAACGCCCGAATTTGGTTGCTTGGCTATAGTATACCAATGAGCCAGCAGTCGTTCCATAATATATGAAATCGCGGCCCGACGTTGTTCCCAATCGGTGTCAAACATCGGGGTCAGGGATGAAGTTAGCTAAACCGAGTCTCGCCGAATCCTGGTGGACATTTTCGGCGCCAACCTCGATAGCTTTTTGAACAGAAATCCAAGTCGGCCATCATTCATCATTGAAACCCTGTAGGGTGATGTAGCCGACGTGGTCATCATAATATCGTGCTTGGATCATGTAGCTTCGAAGGGCTGATTATCGGCCGGGTGAACAATGACCGATTTTCCGTCCCAAAAAACGAGCACTTGATACAATGATGAAGGAATACAACTGGTTTGATGAATCCAGTAGTGACCGAGCAGTGCATTATACTCGGTCTTGGATTTGACGATAAAAAAAACGGTCATGTGATAACGGCCGGCAATGTTTACCGCTAAAGGAAGCACCCCTTTGGTGTGGGATTTGTCTCCGACGAAACTGCTCATTGTGATCCCGAAGGGAATAAGTTCATCATTGGAGCGACGTAATGCCTTCATGACGTTTACAGGCATGATATTGACAGTGGCTCCATAGTCGACAAAAACTTTGGAGACTGGATACCCTTCGATATGGGCCGTTACGTACAACGGCTTCAAATGATGAAGTGAGGAGCGAGGAAACAATTCAGCCAAAGCTGCATTGAGATTGTCATCTTTTGTTGTCAACTCGACTTCAGCAATGGTTACAAAATCAATGTGACCGGCTTCCTCGGCAACTACGTCACCATTGAGGAAATTCGGTTGAGCTGTGCTCGACTGAAAATCAGCGGGCAAAACATGGACCATACTGATTTCCATGTTATCCAAGACTGACAGGCCCATCGGGTTGCGATCATCTTCTTCAGCCTCTTCTTTTTCCGGGTCACCGACTGCGGCATCCACTTCCGTCAGAGTTATACCAAGAGACTCATCTGCTCCTTCAATAGTTTGTGCCCTTGGTGTCTCTTCGGCAGCCTGTTGGTTCTACGTAGGTGCCTCAGGTGAGTCTGAGATCAGAAGTGTGCCTGGGATTGGTGCCAGGATACGAGCTTGTTTTTGGTACATTATACGGGCATCCTTGGTGTCAAGATAGGCATCCAACCGTGCAACTCGTGTTATTTCATCGGCTGTAAGGCCGAAGAAAGAAACAGTCGAAAAGACTTCGAAATGGTATCGTAAATACTGAAGGTCCTCTATTAAGAAAGGAAGGTCGACTGCAACGATATCAGTGTATGGGTCGACTTCAAAACCAAGGACACGAGCTTCTTGTATGTGCTGGAACCTAACTTTCAATCCTGGATCTAAGGTCTTCTGAATAATTCGCTCGGCATCTGGGCAAGTTAGGACGAGATCGATTGTGTCTTTACATGCTTTCGGCAAACCATACAGATCGTTGGCCGAATGTTTCTTATGAAACTCTCGCATATATTCCAAGGCCTCCCCGAGGAATGGTGGATGTAAATTCTGTCGAATTTTGATCAAGGGTTCTCGTGTGGCTGGCGGGTGATCGGATCATATTTATATATATTTTTACTTCGAATTCACTCGTCTTTTCTTAGTTAGTTCCTTATATTTTTGAGCTATTTACGTTATTTTTGTGTTTATAGGATTTGTTATGCAAAGAAAATAAAAATAGAACAAGTGAAATTTTATGTAATAAATTCGTCAAAATTGTCTGTGTAGATCAGCTTTTAAATTAAATTAAAAAATATATATAATAATGATAAGTCATGATGAAACATCATCATGATGGTTTTGTTTTGTAGAAGAAAAGAAAGGAACGGATGGAGAAGAAGAAAAAGAAAGGGAATAAAAGTATGGAAAGCAAAGGCATACGAGGGAGAAAGAAATAAAAAAAGGAGGGATCCAAAGCGTGAGGGAGGAAAGGAGTAAGCTGCCCTTGCAGCTTTGAGAAGGTCAGAAAAGAGATATAAAATAAGAAAAAAAGAGAAACAGGGGGGTCTGGGAGCGGGAGAAAGGGGCTGCCCTTTGGGCAGCTCGCAGAGACGCAGGAAGGAGAGAAGCTCGCAGAGAGCGCAGGAGGCGCAGAAAAGACGCGGGAGTGAGAGGCGAGGAAATAAGGCTGAAGAGGAACAGCTGCCATTTGGCAGCTGTGAGCACGGACAGAGAACACGAGGGCTGCCATTGGGCAGCGGTAGTGAGAGAAGTGAGGCAGTGCAGTCCAGGTGATAAACAGAAAGCAAGTCAGCGAGGGAGAGGGCAAGCATGGGCACGAACGCAGCAGATCCTCTTTCGGTTTAATTTTTCCAAACTTCTCTTTTATTTCTGTTTTTAATAATGTGTAATTAAATTTATTTTGGCTAGAGGTTAATTCAAAGCCATGAATATAT